GAACGTCCCCCCCTTCCTCCTCCTTCCCCCAGCTTTATATGCTGAGCATGACGTCATATGGTGTGGGATATCCCTTTTGTCAGTTGGGGTCAGGTGTCCCGGCTGTGTCCCCTCCCAGCTTCTTGTGCACCCCCAGCCTACTCGCTGGTGGGGTGGGGTGAGAAGCAGAAAAGGCCTTGACTCTGTGTGAGCACTGCTGAGCAGTAACGAAAACATCCCTGTGTCATCAACACTGTTTTCAGCACAAATCCAAAACATATCCCCATACTAGCTACCGTGAAGAAAATTAACTCTATCCCAGCCAAAACCAGCACAGCCTGGCACATCAGACCTATGGAAGTAGGCGGCTTTGGTAGACACCGGTGCACAGTGTACGCTGGTGCCATCAGGGCACTGGGGCACAGAACCCATCTGGATCTCTCAAGTGACAGCGGGAGGCCAACAATTGTCTGTATTGGAGGCTGAGCTGAGCTTAACAAGGGACAAGTGGCAAAAGCACACCACTGTGACCGGCCCAGAGGCCCCTTGTATCCTTGGTATAGACTACCGCAGGAGAGGGTACTTCAAGGACCCAAAGGGGTACCGGTGGGCTTTTGGTGTAGCCACTGTGAACACAGAAGATCAAACAGCTACCTACCCTGCCCACTACACCCCGACTGACAGATACTAGCAGCATATGAGGGGGTTTGAACCGCTTCAGAAGTTGGTACAGAAGCATGGTTCCTCTTGGCACTGTGATTGCCTGTGCTACACTGGATGTTCAAAGGAAACATGCCCTCTACACATCACACAACCAGCCCTACGTGGAGTAACTGGGTAGCGCTGATCACACGATGGGCTTGGCTGGGGAAACCCAACCGCCCAGGAATCCTGGAAGAGATCGTGGACTGGCCAGAAGGCAGAGATTTTGGAGCATTGCCTGAGGAGGTGGCTCGTGCCCAAGAGGCACCACCATATAATGAGTTATCAGAAGGTGAAAGGCGTTATGCTGTTTACTGATGGATCCTGTCATGTTGTAGGAAACCATTGGAAGTGGAAAGCTGCTGTGTGGAGTCCCACATGACAAGTCGTCAAAGCTTCTGAAGGAGGTGGTGAGTCAAGCCAGTTTGCAGAAGTGAAAGCCATCCAACTAGCCCTAGAGGTTGCTGAAGGAGAAAAGTGGCCCGTACTCCATCTCTATACTGACTGATGGATGGTGGCTAATACTCCATGGGGGTGGCTACAGCAGTGGCAGAAGACCAATTGACAGCACAGGGGTAAACCCATCTGGGCTGCTGCATTGTGGCAAGACACTGCTGCCCAGGTAGAAAACATCACTCTAAAGGTATGTCATGTAGATGGTCACATGCCCAAAAGCTGCACCACTGAAGAACATCAAAACAATGAACAGGTAGAGAAGGCTGTCGAAGTAGCTCAGGTGGACCTGGACTGCAAGCGTAAGGGTGAGCTATTTGTATCTTGATGGGCCCATGAAACATCGGGACATCTAGGGAGAGATGCAACATGCAGATGGGCTCGTGATCAAGGGGTGGACCTGACCATGGAGGCCATCACACAGGTCACTTATGAATGTGAAACGTGCTGCAATCAAGCAAGCCACACGAGTAAAGTCTCCCTGGAATAGAGGGCGGTGGCTGGGTTTTCGATATGGCGAGGCCTGGCAAATTGACTATATTGGACCACGAACATGCCAGGACAAGTGCTACATACTCACCGTGGTGGAAGCAACTACCTTGTAAACCATGCCACTGCCCGAAACACCATCTTGGGCCTTGAAAGGCAAATTTTGTGGCAACATGGTACCCCAGAAAGAATTGAATCAGACAATGGGACTCATTTCCGAAATAACTTCATAAACTCCTGGGCCAAGAAACACGGTATTGAGTGGGTGTATCACATCCCCTATCACCCACAAGCCTCTGAAAAGACTGAGAGGTATAATGGGCTGCTAAAGACTACGTTGAGAGCATTGGGCAATGGGGCATGGAAGCACTGGGATATAAATTTAGCAGAAGCCACTTAGCAGATCTTCTGGTGTTAACAAGCCATGTGGCCTGGTC